TACATACATATATATACATACACACATATATATATATATATATATATATATATATATATATATATATATATATATATATATATATATATATATATATATAAATATATATAAATATGTGTGTGTGTGTGTGTGTGTGTGTATAAAAAAAAATCAACTTCATCTACCTATGTGTTCCATATATATTACAGTACACTTCAACATTTATAATATCTCAACATATATTAAAGTCTTAAACTATCACCGTGTCTGTGATGAAGCAAAAGACGGCTTTACACTGCAACTAAACAGTGCTGATAGGTTTCAATCAGTTCATTAGTCTGCTCTGGCTGAAGTTATTAAGCTCTTACGCTTCAGTCCTTACAATCTAATCGTCTAAAGACCAGAATATTTGAGAGCCGCATATATAAAAGAAATTAAAACACATATTCTCCATTAAAAACTTTCTATTTGTCCCATAATATTGTTATTGATTGGTTATATCCATTCCCAGCCATAATACGTCTGTCCCGGGACCCATACATTTCAACATGAATCGAACTGTGAAATACTGAGACTTCTTTGCTGTTATATGTGAATCTGATTTTACTAGTTATAATGCATGTTCTTAATCTGAACATGAACGTTTCACCTGTGCTTTTCCTCAAACTCTTTCAGGCAATATTATTGCGAGATATTAGGATTTTAAATAAATGTTAAATATTTGGAGATTTAAGGATTGTGAAAATGTTTTTTAAAGTTGCATTTATTTAATTAAACTCACAGGAACAACTGCGATATATATTTTAAACAACGGTAGCATTTTAGCTTAGGTCACAATTCATGCGCCATTTACCGCTGACTTATTATCTGCCCATTATTAAGATATTACCTGTTAATTAGTAGTTAAAAAGTATAATCTTATTCTACATATCTAATCCTACCCAAAACCTAAACACAACATCTATCTTACTAACTATTAACAAAACAGCTGATTAGGAGTTTATTAAGCAAATAGTGTTGTTTAATGGTTTGTTAATAGCTTGAATTGTGACCTAAACTAAAGGGTTACCAACTAGTATCTGTTTTAATAGATTTTAAAGGTAACACTTTAAGTAATGGTCCATTAGTTAATGTTAGTTTGTGAATTTACTATCATTAACAAACAATGAACAACGCATTTAATACCAGTTATTCGTTCATTTTAATGTCAATTAATGACAATTCAGTCGTTCATTGTTAGTGTAACTCAAAGTGCATTAACTAATTTTAACCACCATAACTTTGGATTTTAATAATGCATTATCAATCGTTGAACTATGATTAATAAATAATGAACAAGTACTGTAAATTCTTAGTTCATGTTATTAAATACGCAAACTAATAGACCGTTATTTAAAGTGTTACTGATGTCGAACAATTTTGTCCCAGATGAATTTTCAGCATCATTACTCACTGCAATTCATAGTGTCTCCTGAACCGCCTCCTGATCCTCGATATGTAATGAATTCTGAAATTATAATGTAATAAACACTTATTAGTAATGTTAAAAACCGTTGTGTTGTCCATCTAAGACACTGAAACAGTCTGAAAAGTGTTTTCAGAGGAAAAGCAGACGAAACGTTCACATTACAAATGCAAATCCCATGCATTAAAGCACATTTGAAGTGAAAGTCCTGCTCCATTACTCACATTATGAAGGTAAAATGTTTGATTTGGATTGTAATTTTTAAAAACATTAATGCAAGTTTTTCTTCTTCAAAGCGTAATCTGTTTTGCTTTACTATTTTCTCATTTACACACTTACATTCGCTCTAAAACAAACACACACACACACGTCAGTCATAGAGTTTGTTGTGATTGCTTAGTGAGAACACACACATGTATGTACACTCATACACACACAAACAAGTGTGTGTGTGTGTGTTTGTGTGTGTGTGTGTGAACCCATCATTATGATACCATATAGCTGCACGGGAAGGGAGGGTCTTGTCTGTGACCCAGCTGTTTGAGGTAGATGATTTCGTGTCCGGGCCTGGTCTGGATGAGAGGTGTGTTTGTTTCAGTCCCGGCTCTTTCTCCAGCGCTGGGAGCGACTCCCTCTTTGAGAAGCCTCCTCCGGGGATGAAGATGAGCCTGAGCGGCTTTCCTCTTCCGGGGACTGAGCGGAGGTGGAGGGGCGTTGCGGGTCCTGAGACGCGGAGGGCGACGGCGCCCCCTTGTGGGGACACTGGGCCACCATGTGCGTGACACTCTGACAGTAGTGACACTTCTTTGGCTGGGGTGGAAGGCCACACTCTTTAGCGTGGTGGTCCAGACCTCCACAGTTATAACACCTGCAAGAGGACAGGACGATGCACAGTTATGGTTCAAAAATATATGATCTCAGCATTGGCATATGGTGAATACAAGCCGAATCCTCGGCAGAAAGTAAATAAGGTTTGTTTATATAGCACATTTCACACACAATGGAAATTTAAAGTGCTTTACATAAACAAGACTAAAAGAATAACTACAACAAGGAATAAAAATGATTAAAAACAGATTAAAATGTGTTAAAACAAGTTTTAAAGAAATAAAAAAGAAAAGAACTGAATAGTGTGATCTGTGGGATGTAGCACAGTGCTCATTCAGTAAAGGCACAGCTAAACAGATGTGCTTCAGTCTTGATTTGAATGTGCCTAATGTTGGAGCACACCTGATTATTTCTAGAAGCTGATTCCAGCAGTGGGGGGCGCTGTTAGTAGCTGAAGGTGGTTACGGCTGTAGCAGTAAATAGGTTGTTGCCTGTAATTTCTGTAGCTCCGCCTTCACGACAGTTGATTGGTCAGGAGACCAATCCATTTTCATTGGGCGACGTGGCGCGGTCACATCAAAGGACAGCAGGGAGAGCAAAAGGCATCGCATTTTTGCTTTGATTTCGTTTTTCGTGTACTTTGCTGACATGATTTTGTTGTTTTTGTTTAACTTTTGCCCATTTTGACAAACTCTGGATTTTTGTACATTTTATTTCGTTTGATTCGTTTGTTTTTGGCCCAGCTCTTAACCGTCAATACTGAGATATTTCATCAAGTTCACTCTTTTCTCAGAGTAAGATGGACAGGGAAGATGTCGTACGACTTTCATTTTGCAAACACGTAGGAAATTTATTGTTAAAGTACAGAGGTGAATGCCATTCTTGTTATTATTTTATATACAGTTGAGTAAAGAAAAGAATACGGCGTATGGCGCTGAAGACTTCTTTTCTTTTCATATGTTTCTAGCAAGGTAAGGGGTCTTTCAGGAGTTAGAACTGTTTTGATATATTTCATTCTTTTGTTTGGCTTCACTATCGTCCCCTTACTCCTGAGTTGAAGTAATTTTTGTTTGATACTTTGTTTGAACTTGCTACTTTATTACATTCTTTTTATTATTGTAAATATTTATTTTTGTATATATATATATATATATATATATATATATATATATATATATATATATATATATATATATATATATATATATATATATATATATATATATA